GAGAGTTACTGCACATACAGGCTTGCTTATTTGGGAGATCTAAATGGCACTTCCAGTGTTTTCATTAACTGTCAAAATTCGATTATCTTCCTCTCCATGGGGGCAAATAACATCAAACAAACTGCATGTGTTAATATATAGAAAATTCCAGGCCCCCTTCTGTTCCAGTCTTTTTGCCAAGAATATTTGCTGTTTGTATCTTAAGAAATTCCACAACACTTACAAAGTACTGGAAAATTTGGAATGCTACTAAATTGCTAATGAAAATAATGAAATTAAGCAGTTTTGAAAGGTTGAAACAAGACGGGGGTAAGAAGTTTCTTACGGCCATATGTGTAAATTGGTCGTAGTGTAGACCAACAAAGGAAAACAGTCGAATTTTAGTATGTGGTCAAAATCCAAAAAAAAGGCATTTAGGTATCTCAGGTATGCCAATTGGTATTTAGAGTAGGCGACGTCTGTGTTTTATCCCTGAACTGTAGACACAGACGGCTGAGTCGCTGCGAAGTGGGGCGGGATTCATCAGTACAGCACCCCATTTCGCTATGTTGGAGGGGACATGTAAGTTTTGGTAAGAAAGAGGAGAAGGAATTAAAAGTAAAGTTGTTTATAAAAACTGTACAAAGCTGAATTAGCAAAACTGGACAAAAAGCAGTGATATAGAACAGCTCATTGAACGCTTAGCTGGAATTATGTGGATGAAAGAAGCTAGGCAGGAAAAAATATTGAACCTCATCGAGTCAATTATCGACGAGGAGTACACTGAGAAGCGGGGGATTAGAAAGAATTAAGCTAAAAAAAAGCTGACCTCTTTGCTTTTATCCATTCTTAATTGCAATACATTATGCAGCATATTGACTTGCAGTGGATGAACCAGTTTTGTGCCAAAGCCAACATCGTAATCCTCGACCAGGATCCTGATATTCAACAGCGTCCACTTGGTGGTCTCTCGCTCACCAAGCATTGTTAGTGCTACCTCGAATTCACCATCCACCGTCATTGTGAGCTGAAATCGGCCAATTTTCTCGTTCCTTTGATGGTGGATAAATTAAAATGGGAATTTCGTAAAATTTCAGCTTCCTAGCTTGGCAGGTTTGCGAGACCAGTTTTCGCTATAAATACCTTTGAGAGTAATATTCGACAGTGCAAAACAGGCAAACGCCAAACCTCATTTTACGCCTACATGCCTGGATATGGAAAAATGCATGAACTTCAAAAAACCCCCCAACAAAAAATGTTTTAACTTCGCCATAAGAATCTCTGAAAAAAACGATTTTTTGCATAAATATCAACAGAACTACACCTAAGGTACAGGCGAACTGGCAATTAAATGAATTGATGAGTAAATAAAAAGTTAAAAAATAAAAGAAAAAAATCAAGGCAATGAGTAACTTATCACAAAAATGCCTGAGCTGAGCTAATGATTTATCATGATACATAGAAATATAATTATATTAGTTTCTTTATTCATGATTTTTATCTTATTTATATATTTCATCAATTTTTCTCTGTTTTTTTCACTTCACAACCGAAAATTTATCAGTCAGTACTAAATCACTGCTTTATCTCCATACCAATTAATAAAAAACCAGATCTTTAGCAATGAATACATCCGCTCGTACAAAATACAGTCGGTTTTGTCACTCCCCCGAGAAAACTTTCACGTGCCCTTACACAAAAGCCACGCAAGCCTAGGGGCTGAATTTGTAATCTTTAGCTCATACAAGAACATAGAATATCCCTGCAAAGTTTCAGCTCTCTATTCTTTCTGGTCCCCGAGACTGTCCTCAACTTCGCCTTTTTAAGCTGGTACTAGTCTAGGAAAACACATCCTAATACTACAAAAAAAAAAAAGCCGAAAATTTGAAAATTTATCACATAACCAAGCTCCCTCAACTACGAAGTACTTGTTTTCTGCCAAATCCACTGTCTTGTGAAAGTTGAACAGTACTGCAAAACTAAATGAACTAACCATTCCGTTACGAATTACAGCCTTGGAAATGCGAGGAGACAGTTTACAGCCATAACTTGAAATTCGATTCTGTATAACTTGATTGAGCCGTGCCAGCACGCAAGCTTCTTCCCGTGGCGTTATCGGTGGTTCCGGAATAAAAGAACTCTGCAAGAACTGGCGCAGATCAGTTTCGTTCACCGTGAAAATAGTAAAAATCAAATTTTACAAAAACAACACACGTATATAGAGCAGAAGGCAGTAATCGAAGGTATGCAGTTCAAACTTGAAGAGCCTGCCGACATCAGCTTCTGACATCTGTGAGTATCCCAGTAATATCACTAACATGGCACATCTACGTTGCCTGCTCGGGTTGTTTTGGCTTTAGCAATTTAAAAGAAAATTTTTTTTTCATTTTTTTCTCATGAAATCAGCCGCTTGAATGCATTTTTTTACGAAAACAGCCACTTTTTTCATGAATACTTCTTTTTCTTGAGTATTTTCCTGTGAATAAAACCTTGAGATAAAGAGGGAAGTCCACGTGCATGAGTGCTTTTACATATTCACCATATTATTTTTGACTTTTTTCCCACAGTAAATGGCGCTAACCCTCCCCCCCCCCCCCCCCCCCCCCCCCCCCCCC